CCAACACCCGCAACACCAACACCCGCAACACCAACACCCGCAACACCAACACCCGCAACACCAACACCCGCAACACCAACACCCGCAACACCAACACCCGCAACACCAACACCTGCAACACCAACACCCGCAACACCAACACCCGCAACACCAACACCCGCAGCAGCCCCGAAGAGGACCAGCCCTGCAGTTAGGCATTGGCTACGCCTCATGCTGAGTGACGCGGTGGCCTGCAACTCGCAGCAGAAGCAGGAGTTTAGGCTGGCAAATCCGTAATAAAATATACAATATTATACAGGCTGTAGGATAAGAATAATACTCACTGCAAAGCGACTGTGAGACATGAAATTTTTTCCATCCGCACGTTCGCGACAGATATTGAATAACTTCAGCATTATCAAGAAAATGCCCAAATTTGAAACGCAAAAACCGGCACCAATAACAAGCCATTTTGTCTTAGACAAGGTCGGAGGGTGAATATAGTGAAATATGTCGTGAATACAAGACATAAATAGGCAGAAAATTCAAAAGATTAGTTTCCGTAGAGAAGAAAATGTTTTCAGCCATGAAAATCAAAATGTACAAAACCTACCAAAGGTTATCTATTTATTGAACAGGTTAAAACTTTAAATGTCAAGAGCTCTTTACAGCAATATAGATCAGGAATTATTCGCATTAGTTAATATAGGTCACTTTTACAAGTTACAATACTACAATGAAGAATTGTAAATTGTAATAAAGATACAAATTATTTCTTTACTAATACAATAACATTTTAATTGAAATTGTAACGTTAATTTATTTCTCGTAGTGAAAGAAAGTGGGTGTTGGGGCGAGATGGGTTGAGGCCAGAGGGATAGGGGTGGGGGGTTAAGGGGGGTTTGGGGGTAAAGTGTGGGGGAGCGGGGTTGGGGAAGAGGGCATGTGGACAGTCGCCAGAGGGCGATCCATTTCCGCTCCCACAGCGCTGGTCCCGGTTTTGGGAACGTCTTTTTGTGCTGTGGCATCAGAGCAAATGATCAGCAGCCATCGTACCCGGTCAATTGCCACTGAAGCTCGGCCAATCACCGCTCAAGTTAGGCCAATCACCCTGAAGTTAGGCCAATCGCTCCCAGATATCCTGACAATTACCGGAGACTTGAAGTCCATCATCGCCGATCGATGCTCGGGCGATCGCTTCAACAAAAATGCTACCAATCACCGTCTTGACAGCCAGTGACCGTACACTCAAGAAATCTAGTGAAACTTAGTCAAAATAGAGATGCACTCTGTGCCTTTGTGCGTGTCATTCTAGCTGGGTTCCGCATCGAAAAAAATAAGTATCAGTGCTACGTCCGCTCCCTGCGAGTGCTGTGGACTAGAAAGGGTGTCACTATTGGGAC